GGGAGAAAGGGAGAAAGAGATGAAAGAGAAAGAGGGAGAAAGAGAGACAGAGGCAGAAAGAGAGGGAGAGAGAGAGAGAGATGAGATGAGATGAGATGTTGCTTTTTATGGGAAAGGGGAGTTATCTAAACAAGAGCTACCTCCTCACTTAACCCCACCTGAAAGGAGAGAGGGGAGATCTTTTTGTTGTTGTTATTTGAATAAAATGAAAGCCATTATTTGTACCTCGTGTGGTTGTCCTTTATTTCTTCCTTTTTCAACTTCAGCTGCTTTGTGCATCACAGATGAGGTTGAAAAAGCAGGAAAGAAGAGGATTTTTCAAATGCGGCGCATGCACTTGTCAGCTATCTGGGCACCAGAGCTGATGATGTCTTGCAAACGCTGTGCACATGCGCACGGCCATACACAAAAGGCATGGTCACCAAACTGGTTGTAACCACAGTTGGATCCCACCCCCACATGTTGGCACTGCACAATAAATCAGTGGGTTCAGAGTTTCAGTTTGGGCACTCGGTGCCAAAAAGGTTCACTATCACTGAATTAGGGCATCTGTCGGAACCCTGACACCAGGTTGCTAACTTATCAACTGCAATGATAAGTGAAACTGTCCCAACGAAGTTTGGAAAATGGGGCAAAATTCACTTAACGAATGTCTCACTTAACAATAGAAATGTTGATCTCAATTGTATTTAGTGTTCTTTTTTTTAGTATTTATTTGATTTGTCAATCGCTTACAAGATACATGTATAAGAATAAATATAGTGTTGAATATATGAGATAGATACCTATAAGAAAAATAAAAAACAATAGGACAGGGACGGTAGGCACGTTGGTGCGCTTATTCACGCCCACTACAGACCTCTTAGGAAGGGAGCGAGGTCAATAGTAAACAGTCTAAGATTAAAGTTTTTGGGGTTTGGGGAAGAAACCACAGAGTCAGGTAGAATATTCCAAGCATTGACCATTCTGTTGCTGAAGTTGTATTTCCTGCAATCAAGTTTGGTGCGATTAACCTTGAGTTTGTGTCGTATATCTCATACGAACAAAGGACGCGAGTCAGTGACTTGGTTCAGCTCATTTATTGGGGTAAAAGCACAAGTGGGAAGAGTGGGGAAGAAACGCGGCTTAAAAGGCTTTCTGCTGAGTGCTGCGGCCAATCGGGTCATTTTGAATCGCCCGCGATCGGCTCAGCCTATCACGGTCGATTCCGAACGACCAATCAGTGCCGCGCACTCAGCCAATCCGGTGGCCGTGCGCTTTAGCCAATCCGGGCTGCCGGATTTCGAGTATGCAGATGTCTGTACAGAACACCCCTCCCCTCTTGGTTTGGTCCTACGTGACGTAGTCCCGTAAGTAGGCGGGGCTCCGTATTTTCCGATTTGACTTGCGCTGGTCAGTTGTCTCCTGGTTGTCGGCCGGTTCGGGTGGGACTCCTGTCGCTCTCCGCCTCGTTGATGGAACCGCCTGGAAGGGTGAGTCCGGCCTCTCGCCGCGGCTCCCTCCTGGTCTTCCCGGGTTGGTCGGGCTGCTGGCTTCGCCGCTCTCGCTCGGCTTTTCCGGGCTGGTTGAGCTGGCTTGGCTGCTCCCGCTCGGGCTTCCGGGGTCGGTTGAGCTGGCTCGGCTGCTCCTTCCAGGTGAAGCTTCGAGTGGGTCGCTCTCCGGTTCTTCAGGTGGTAAGTATTGCTGGTTCCCTTTTGGGTGGGTTTGTTCTTTTTGTTCTTTGGGGCCTTCCCTCCCCTCTTGGTTGGTGTCTTGCCGGTTCCCTTCTGTACCTGGTGTCTGCGTGTCGGTTGTGTTTCCTGCGGTGGCTCTTGATCTCAGTTGGTTGATGTGGCGTTTCCACGCTCGTCCGTCAGCTGTTTGGAGGCGGTACGAGAGTGGGCCTGTTGCTTGGGTGATCGTTGCCGGTATCCAGAGGGGGTCTCCGGTGAGGTTTCTTGCGTAGACCTTGTCTCCCGGTGAGAATGTTCTGTGTTTGCTGGTGGAGTCAGGGGGTCTTTCCGGGTTGTATGTGGGGTGCAGGCGGTCGAGCGGGGATCGCAGTTTTCTTCCCATTAGTAGCTCCGCTGGGCTTTTGTTCGTTGTGGTACTCAGGGTTATGTGTTGGATTAGGAGCATCCGATTGATCTTGTCCTGTATGTCCCCGGTTTCGATCTTTTGAATGGTCTTTTTTGTAAATTGAACCATTTTCTCCGCTCTACCGTTCGCCGCCAGGTGCGCCGGTGCCGTTAGTGCGTGCCGGATCCCTCGTTCTGCTAAGAATTTCTCGAACGGTAGTGCGGTGAACTGGGGGCCATTGTCTGATACGATGACATCAGGGAGGCCGTGGGTTGCGAAGAGTTTGCTGAGTTGTCTGATGACGGAGTCTGTGGTGGTTGTCTTCATGTTGCTTACCTCCAGCCAGTTGGAGTAAGCGTCTACGGTTACCAGGAAGGTGTGTCCTCTGGTTGGTCCCGCGAAGTCTACGTGGATTCGGGACCATGGCCCCCTGGGGGTTTCCCACTCCCGGATTGGGGCGGCTGGGGGGTTTGGTCTTGATTCCTGGCACTGCTTGCAGGAGGCCACCCAGGCTTCGATCTCCTTGTCCATCCCTGGCCACCAGGCGTGGCTTCTGGCCAGGGCTTTTGTCCTGACGATGCCGGGGTGCCCTTCGTGCAGCATGCTCAGGACTCTTTTTTGCAATTTTTCCGGGATTACGACCCTGTCCCCCCACAGTAAGCAACCTTTTTGTATTGACAGTTCTGTTTGTCGGTTCCGGTAAGCTTTGAACTCGCTGTCCCCGTCTTTTTCCGGCCAGCCTTTCCCCACCCATCTCAGGACCTGCGCCAGACGTTTGTCTTTATTGGTTGCTAGGGCAATGTCTGACGCGGTCAGGAGTAGGTTGGGTAAAGTCTCGATGCTCAGGGTTGACGTGGTTGGTGCTGGGTCGGCGTCCAGGGTTGGCAGTGGTGTGCGGCTGAGGGCGTCTGCGTGCGGAATTGTCTTACCGGGGCGGTGGATTAGCCGGTAATTATAGGCGGCGAGAAATTCGGACCACCTTGTCATCCTTGGAGAGAGGATGATTGGGGTGGCCCGGTCTCCTGCCAGTATTCCCAGCAGTGGTTTGTGGTCCGTGATTATGGTGAAGGTCCTGCCGTAAAGGTATTCGTGGAATTTCTTTACGGCCGCGACGATGGCTAGAGCCTCCTTATCCAATTGGCTGTAGTTTCGTTTGGGTTTTGAAAGGGTCCTCGAGAAAAAGGCGATGGGTGCTTCTTTTCTGTCGGCGAGGGTATGGCTGAGGACGGCTCCTACTCCGAAAGGGGATGCGTCGCACGTTACCGTGATGGGGAGTGTCTCGCTGTACTGGATGAGGACAGCGTCTGATGTGAGAAGGTCCTTGGTTCTGTTGAAGGCGTCCTCTTCTTGTCTCCCCCACGTCCAGGTGGCTGCCTTGTCGAGCAGCCTATGCAACGGCTCCGCCACGGTTGCCTTTTGGGGCAGGAAAACATTGTAGAAATTAATCAACCCCAGGAATGCTTGTAATTCCGTTTTGTTTCGGGGCTTCGGGGCTTCTTTAACGGCTTTTATTTTGCCCTCGGTGGGGTGGATTCCATGCTGATCTAGTAAGTACCCCAGGAACTCGACCCATGCCGTGTGCAGTTGGCACTTCTCTCTCTTAACCTTGAGCCCCGCACTTTGGAATCTCCTCAGTACTTCCCGTAGGCGGTCCTCTAATTGTTTCTGGTCAGCCCCGGCTACCAACACATCGTCGAAGTAAGGCACTACCCCTTTTATGCCCCGGAGGAGTCTTTCCATGAGGCTTTGAAATACCCCCGGGGCTACGCTGACTCCGAATTGGAGCCTCTTGCAACGGAATGCTCCCCGGTGGGTAACTATTGTCTGCGCCTCGGCGGTTTCCTCGTCGACCGGCAATTGCTGATAGGCTTGGGCCAGGTCGAGTTTGGCGAAAACCCTGCCCCCTCCCAGTGAGTGCAAGAGGTGTTGTACTACTGGGACGGGGTAGGCGCTTTGTTGTAGCGCGCGGTTCAGGGTTGCCTTATAGTCCCCGCAGATTCTCACAGACCCGTCTGGCTTTATCGGGGTGACTATAGGGGTCTCCCATCGGGCATGGTCTGTGGCTTCGAGGACTCCCTGTTCGATGAGCTTGTTTAATTGCTCATCGATTTTGGGCCGGAGAGCGAAAGGCACTCGCCGGGGTTTGAGGCGGATGGGGGCAATGGTGGGGTCTAGGCTGAACGATATTGGGGGGCCCCGGTACTTGCCTAGATTGCCGTCGAAGACCTCCTGGAACTCGCGCACGAGCTGTTCCTCCCAGTCCGCCTCGGCGACGTGGTTGGTTCCGGTCACTTCTAGTCCCAGCGGCGCAAACCATTGCAGTCCCAAGAGGCTGGGGCGGTCTCGCTCGACGACGGTTAGCGGAAGTATTTCAGTGCGCCCTTTGAATGTAACCTTGAAGTGCCCGGTCCCTACCACGGGAATGCGATTCCCCTGGTAATCCTTAAGGATGAGCGTCTGGTTCTCCAGCTCGTGCCGCTTCATGGAAGGTACCAGTCGCTTAATTTCCCGCCACGCGACCATGGACAGGTACGATCCGGAGTCGACCTCCATTTTGCAGGGGCGGTCCTCGATTTCGACCTCCACGTGGACTTTCCAGCCGTCCCAGTTGGAGGAATGGCCGACGATGACCGTTTGGTGGGTTTCCTCGCGCTGGCGGCCTTCGTGGAAACGGCGGCTCCTCGATTCCCGGCTCCAGCGGCTCTCACCGTCCCGATCGCGGTTCCTCGGCGGGGTGTTGTTGCGCCTGGCATTTTCGCGTCTCCGGGGGGTGGTGTCGCGGTGGCGGGGGCTGTGGTTCCTCTTGAAACGGCAGACCTTGGCGCTGTGTCCCCGTTTGTCGCAATGGCGGCAGATCGCGTCGAAAAAACGGCATTCTGACCTTGGGTGCT